TTTAAACAAACAAACAAAAAGCAAATATCTTATTTACTGATTCCCATGAAAGCAGGCCCCATCATTACCTATCCCCTCATTCCCAGCATTGATTTTATATCACATTTCAAAAAGAAAAGAGAGGCTGGGAGCTGTCAGACAGAAACTCTGAAATTCTGCCCCTTCCTTCCAACAACACAAAATATTTGCAGTTTCTACTCCCATCAGTGCCTCTTTCCTTCTTGATTCAATGACAGAGATGTTCCTTCCTAAAGTTAATCCCTCTCTTTTGCCTCCAAAGCAATCTCTGTTTTCTATATCATTCTTTCATTAATTCAACATTTAGTGAACACCCTAACAAAAAAAAAATATATATATATATAAAAATAAAAAAAAACATTTAGTGAACACCCACTATGTTCCAGACACTATTTTTGATTCTGGGGAAATGATGGGGAACAAGACAAAGTATCAACTCTCCAAAGGACCTTATAAAATAGAGAGATTATATAGACGATCAGCCAATAGACAAATAATTTCAGTTAATGAGTATTAATTTAGGTAGAATGGTAAAAGGTTTCTCTTGAGCTGATACATAACTTATAAGAAGGAGCCAGTGATGCAAAAATCACTTTTCAAAAAAAAAAAAATGGAGGCTGGGCCAGATGAGCAGATGTTAATGGTCCTATAGGCAAGAATTATCCTAGTATATTGAAAAACATTAAGAAAGCCAGTGTCGCTGGCCAGGATTGTTCAGGGGTTGAGCATCGACCTATGAACCAAGAGGTCACAGTTCAATTCCCAGTCAGGTCACACACCTGGGTTGCCAGGCTCAACCCCCAGTGGGGGGTGAGCAGGAGGCAGCTGATCAATGATTCTCTCTTATCATTGATGTTTCTCTCTCTCTCTCTCTCTCTCTCTCTCTCTCTCTCTCTCTCTCTCTCTCTCCCTCCCTCCCTCCCTCCCTCCCTCCCTCCCTCCCTCCCTCCCTCCCTCTCTGAAATCAATGAAATAATAATAAAAAAAAACAACACGCCAGTATGAATAGAGCAAAGGACAGAAATACAAACATAGAGGAAGAACAGAAATAATAAGTGAGCCTCATAGGGTATGGCAAGCAACTAAATTTTATTGTAAGTGCAAATAAAAGCCTCTGGTTTGCTTTAAAAAGTGGAACAATATGATCTGATTTCTGACTTCTATATTTTAAATGTTATTTTGTGTCTCACATTCTCCTTTCCAGACAGTCTTAAAATTTGTTTCTTGAGAGATGAGAGCACCTAGCTAGATTTGTGATAAGTTTTTATTTGACATAAAGTATTTTTTATAGTCACTTCCAGTTTACCTTAAAGTTTGAATGCCAAATTCTATCTAGAAGCATGTTTACAGTACAGGAAAACATTATCTTAGGTGCACACTTTGGTCTTCCAAGAGAAGACTCTAAAAGAACCTGTCTACTTCTTGACCTCAATATAAAGCTACCAAATATGGAGAGCAATTAATAGGCAGGACATTTAATTACTGGAGCTCCAAAGGTATAATTTCTTAGAGCGTGGGTCTAGGACAAAATTGTAAAGTAAATAATATTTCTCTTGTTACCTATCTCCTCTTTCAGTATCTCTTCTCCCACATTTAGCAGTCTCCACCCAACCACTTCATTGGGCTTGAGACTTTAATGAGCTCACAGCACTCCCAGTCTACTCAACCTAGAATCAACATTCCACACTTCTGACTTATCCTGATTCTAAATAGGCTAATAATGAGGTTAATAAAACAATTTAACTTTGAATTTTTAGGAGTAAGGCTCAAACCTTTTCCTAAGGGAAGTAGACAGCCATTACATTGGCTAAAATATCTCTCAGAGGTAGGTCTCAAACACAGAAAAGAGATGTTTTTACTTTTCATGAATTCTGACCTCTCATCAAAATAGGAAGAGAAGGGTCACCAAACCTGATGGGAGTGAAATCCTTGAGATAAAAATGTAAAGTAGAGGATGGCTGAAGATGAAAAAAAGCACTTAAATACTCTTAAGAGAGCTGAATAAATGAAGATAAAAATTACACTGTTTTCCTCTTTTTTAAGTTTTTTTTTTTTAACTTTTTAATGTGTCAACTTCTTATAAATAATAGCTTAGCTCTAGTTGGTTTGGATCGGTTGGATCGGTGGATAGAGTGTCATCCTAGACTGAAGGGTCCTGAATTGGATTCCAGTCAAGAGCACGTACCTTGGTTACAGGTTCCTCCTCAGCCCGGGCCTTGGTCCAGCAGACAACTAATAGATGTTTCTCTCTCCCCGTCTTTCTAAAAACCAATGGAAAAATATCCTTGGGTGAGGATTAAAAAAAAAAAAAAAAATCACAAAAAATAGTAATAGCTTAATTTATCTGTTTTCTCTGCTGAATACTCTTTATAATAATTATGAATATTCAAATGGAGGGTGGCAAATTTCTAAGTTATTTTCTATATGAAACAGTACTTCTGGTTTTGGAAGTCTTGGCAATGCCTTGGGTTACTTGTAAGCTATACTCCTCTGAATAGGTTATTTATTTCTCTTTATATCTGAAAAGGCTAGATTAAAGTACTTCTGTGATCCCTTGCCAGTTCTCATATTTCATACATCTAATCTAACACTTTGGACATTTGCTATGTGGTCAGAATTATAATGGGCCAAACATCAAAGAGGTATTTTTCCTGTGACATTACATTTTTTTTTTTTTCCTTTTACTATTCTGGTAGTTCTTTCTCAGTCTCTTCTGTGAATGTTTCCTCTTTTATAAGCTCCTCAAAACTTGGTTCTTGGGCCATCTTCTTGCCCTCACTCCCCACTTTCTTCCCCATTTAAACTATTTTTTACACATTAACCAGAGTGATCTACTTGCAAAACCACATGTGATTACATCTCCCTGTTTCCTTTGTTCAACCATTATTTACCGAGTACCAAATATTCGTCTAGAAGACAGAAATCCAGTGCTATACAAATTAGACAAGGCAATGACTTTCCTCATAGGAAGGTTCTGTATGACCCTTGGCCACTAACTCACTTTCTTTTGCTCCCAGATTTTTACATTTAGCCATATTGACCTGCTTTCTCAGAGCTTTTGAACAAGTCTATTCCTATACCAATTCCTATAGTTTTCAAATGTGAACTTAAATTTCTCTTATGAAAACTCTCTGACCAGAATATGTCCCTCTGTATTTCTCCTTCTAGTACTATCACGGCAAATTAAAAAAGTTGTGTGCTTGTTTAATATATCACTGGTTCTCTCGTAAGCTCAAAGAAAAATGGAAAAATTTTTTTGTTCATTATTCTATTCCAAGCATCTGGCACATATTAGGAGCTCAGTTTGTTACTTGAATGAAGGAGTGGCTCACTATGGAGTGTTATCCTAGTTCTGCAGTTCGGTGACCTGAAGATTCAGAGACATCTTTTTTAAAGGGAAAAATTAATAGGTCACACTTTAGGATTTGGCTTTTTTTTGTTTTTTGTTTTGTTAGAAAGTTCTAATTACTGGCTGAATTTGAAGTTTTACTTATGGAATCATTGCTTTGGAGAGTTAAAAGAAAAACCTCAAAATAGAGGTCACTTCAGGTATTTATTCAACAACAAACATGACTGAAAGTTAACTGGGATATTTCAGCAACGTTTTTCAATTAATTTACCTCACCTGCTGCCCTAGTTCAGGTTATTTCCTGCCAGAATCATTGCACTTCTCCTTCCAAACTTCTTATTGTCATTGTTTTTTGAAATACATACTTTGTTTTGTGTTGTGTTTTTTTCTTTCCCCAATTAGAATGCAAGTTCCGTGAAGGAAAAGATTTTTGTTTTGTTCATGATTTTATTCCTTGTGAAGCTCAGGAAGCCTAAACAAACTTAAAGACACCAGCCATCAATACATATCCCTGCTCCAAGTGTTTCTCCACCCGTTCATATATTCATTCCTTTTATGTGCCAGTATATTGTATCTTGTTAACATGTCCGTTGTTTTTAATTTTTCAAGAGTGTGTTTCAGTCACATGTTAGGTAATTGGCCAATGGAGACCATTAAAAACAGAAAATAACTTTGGAGCCGAACTGGTTTGGCTCAGTGGATAGAGTGGCAGCCTGTGGACTCAAGGGTCCCAAGTTTCATTCCAGTCAAGGGCATGTACCTTGGTTGCGGGCACATCCCTAGTAGGGGGGTGTGCAGAAGGTGACTGATCGATGTCTCTCTCATCGATGTTTCTAACTCTCTCTCCCCTTCTCTCTGTAAAAAAAAAAATCAATAAAATATATTTAAAAAAAAAGAAAGAAAGAAAATAACTTTGGAAAAACGGACCTCAGGGCAGCAGCCTCCACCGGCTGTAGCTGCTCAATAAGTGGTGGCTGACCTTAACGCTGTGGCCTCTTGCCCGTGGGGAAGCTAAAATATGTTTTCGCACAGAAGAGTGCACACATCCTCACCGGTCTCTTAAGCACCTTTCTGGGCTTTGGGGGTGAATACCAGCAAAAGGTGGCCAGTGATAAGGTGGAGGAGTGCCAGGGCTACCTTGGGCCTTCCGCCCGGCTCTGCGGGGCTCCACACTCGAGCAACTGCCATCCGGCGGCGAAGAAAAGTACTTCCGGTGCTCCACTTCTCCACGTGCTGAATCACGGCCGAAGGCTCCGCCCCGCACTGAGGGGGCAGGGGCACACCTCGGTTTCCTCATGGGGGGGATATATTTTTCTGAGTCGCGGGTCACACTTGAGCGGCTGCCTCCTCAAGCCAACCTTCCCCATACGTCACAAATGCGGCGGGGCCGCCCGAACGCCCTTCCTCCCGTCATCCTCCGCGCCGCTCCCTCCGCCTCTTCTCCCTCGCCCCGCCCACCTGAGTTTCGAAGAGCCCTCTCCGGGTCAGCGAACCGGCCTGGGGCCCTTCGGTTCCTTTTACCCTCCGTTCCCATTGGCTGCTTACGTGCGCGTGACCGCCGTCCCGCCTCTTTATTGGGTAGGGCCGGTAGCGTCACCGGAGGGCGGGCGGGGCGCGGAGGGGTAGTCAGCGTGCGGGAGACCGCGTTGGGGGAGGGGCGCAGGCCTGGCCTCCTTGGCGGCTGCGGCAGCACCAGCGCCGGCCGCCGCCACCGCCGCCTCAGAAACGCGGAGGAGGAAAAAGCAGCTGGAGGAGGAGTAGGAGGGGGAGGTGGGCCCCGGGGAATGGGATGCCCTTCGCTCCGGCTCGGTGGTGAATGCTGAGGAGAGTCGCGATCGCCGCAGTCAGTGCCACCGGGAGGAAGTTGTGGTGTGCGGCCGGGCGGGAGCTCGCGGCGCTGTGGAGAACCGTAGCGCGGGGCCGGTGCGAAGACTCGGCGGAGGGCAGACCCTTTCCCGCGCCAACCATGCCTGGGAGGAACAAGGCGAAGTCGACCTGCAGCTGCCCCGACCTGCAGCCCGGCGGCCAGGATTCTGGCGAGAGCGGCCGGGTTGCCCGTCTAGGAGTAGATGAATCTGAGGAGCAGGGACGGAGGGGGCCTATCAATAATGCCGGAGACCCTGAGATCGTCAAGTCTCCTAGCGACCCCAAGCAATACCGGTGAGGGAGGGGTTTGGAACGGGGAGGAGAGCCGGGTGCCGGCCCCCCTCTCTCTCTCTCTCTCGCTGCCGCGGTCACTTCTTGTGTCTGTATCGCCTCAAGGAGCTGGAGGGTCGCCCTGCCCACCCCTGAATGCTTCCTTGGGGTGGAGGTGGCTGGGGCAGTTAGGGGCTTCCGTGTGGTGTCAGCCGGACAGGTGGGAAATAGTGTCATGGGTTCCTCAAGGAATCAGAATGTCAGAATGGGAATAGTGGTTCGAGTAATTTTGATGTGAAGCGAGAATGGAGATTTCTCTAAGGAAAACAGGCTGGGTGCGAAGAGTGTCTTGGTGTTATGAAGAAAGGTTGAAGAGTTGGGGTTTTTCATTTTGGAGAGGATACTTAAGGGGTATGTTATCTACTCACACGTTTTATTCGTATCTCACGTTCACGTTTATTCGTTTTATTCCTATTTCAACTAAGGTGCCCTTAGTTGAAATAGGAATAAAACGAATAGGTGGAAGTTAACTAAAAGGATAGTGTGGCTTGACGAAAAGAACTTTAGGCATCATAGTTGGTCCGTGATGAAGTGGCTTGTTTCCATGGGTTTCTCATTACTGGAATGATTGGGTTGACCTCTTCCAAGAATATATGAGTCTCAGTTGTGTGAATCTTAGACTTGTAAGGTTTTTTTTTTTTTGTCTTTTCTTTTTTTTTCTCTAGTTCTGAAATCCTCTACTTTTGCTTTATACTGCAATCTTCCAAACATCTCTTAGCTGGTGGCTGAATCCCCACCTGTATATTTCCTTCACAGGTAGCTTACTTCATAGAATGTTATGTATTTTAAAGAGAGATTGTATACAACTTCATTTTACACGTTGAAGAAATTGAGACCCAGAGAGTTTGCTTCTTGCTCAGAATTACATAGCTAAATAACAGTTGATTAAAGCCCTGCCACCAAATCCAGGGCATCATTTACTGACTTTTATAGAATTTTTACTCTTGTTGAGTCGAAAGCTGAAGAGTTTAGTCCCAGTTTGTTTATAGAGCAGGAAAGGACCTTCGAGATAATTTTTTCCACTCCACACCCATTCCCATTTGACAGATGATTGAAACAGAAATCTAGCAAAAAAGTGATTTAACCTCAAGTTTAAGACTGGCCTGTTTTGTCTTTTCACTCCATGTCTGTATTATTTTTCCCCCCAGGTTGCAGGTTAAAGAGATCTTTTATGGAGGAGCTAAATTTTATTTTTTTCATTAAAGATGTGGTTGTATTAGTAATATGTAAATGAACAAGTTGAAACATTGATAAAAGGTGTTTAGTTTTTGTCTTTCAAATTAAACATTCAGTAACAGCTTTAGTTTTTGTCTGCTTATATAAAGATACATAGTAACAGTTAATGTTTATAGAATACACACTATGTGTCAGGTACTGTGCTTTAAAAAAATTTTTTTTATCCTCCATATGTTTCTCTCTGGATTTTTGGAGAAAAAGGAAGGTGAGAAGGCGAGAGAGAAACATTATATGCACCCTGACCAGGGATCAAACCCATAACCTAGGTATGTGCCCTGACCGGAAGTCCAACAGGCAACTGGACGATGCTCCAACCAACTTTTCGGGGCTGGTGCAGGAGGTAACAACAACAACAACAACAATAACAAACACACACAAAATAAGTATTTGTCAAATAAAGTTTGCAGAAAATTAGATCATTAAATGAAGAGATACATCTAGAGCAGTTAGAACAGTATCTGAGCCCTGGCTGGGTGGCTAAATTACAATATTTACACATTTGTGTGCCCCGGTAGCAAGTTTTTTCAATATATTTCATTTTTGTAAGTTCTATTTGTCTTTCCCCTCTATTGTACTGAATATTTTATAGGGTGGTACTGTCCCTTTGAGTCTTTGAATGTGTTCTGTTATTAATAAATCAACTATATATTAAGACCTCTCCACTTGTGCACTAAATCCTATCTCCTCTTTACTGACCCCATACATCAATTATCCCATTCCGTGTTGCATCATCAGTTTCCTTCTCTTACTGGATTTTTATTACAAGCATACAGATATGCTATAATTGTTTTTATCTTCTGTGGAAAAAACATTTTACTTCACATCCCCTTTGAACTATCCCCTTCCAGCTATTCAATGTTCTTGGTTTCCTTTATAGCAAAGCTTATTAAAAGAGTTGTGTGTGCCTGGCCAGTTTTGTTCAGTGATAGTGTCATCGGCCTTCAGACCAAAGAGTCCTGGGTTTGATTCTGGTCAAGGGCATGTACCTTGGTTGGTTGCTGGCTCCTCCCTGGACTGGGCCCAGGTCGTGGTGCATACAGGAGGCAATCAGTTGATCTGTTTCTCTCACATTGATGTTTGTCTTTCCTTCTGTCTTCCACTCTCTATAAGATCAATGGAAAAATATCCTCGGGTGAGGATTAACACACACAAACACACATACAAAAGGATGCAGTTTATCATCTTCCATTGTTTCTTGAACTCAAAGTGGGCTTTGCCACTCTTGCTGTACCAAAATTGCTATTTTCAAGACCACCAATAACCTTTAAATTGGTCGGTTCTCAAGTTCTTATCTTCCTAGACCTTTTAGTATCATATGACAGAGTTTCCAACTTAAAATGCTTTTTCAATTGGCTTCCAGGTCACCACTGTACTTACCGTAGTTCTCTTTCTGCCTTATTCACAGGATCCTCCTTATCCTCTTGACATCTACATTTTAGAATGCCTATGGCTCATTCCCCAGATCTCTTCTTTTCCCTGCTTCCTTTGCTCCCTAGGTTACCTCATTACACAGGTTTCCCACCCCTATATTCTTTCTTACTATTTTATTTTTCTTCATAGAACTTATTGTCTTTGGATACAATATATATTTATTTGTTCATGAAAGCCAGGACTTTATTTTGTTCACTGGAGTACCTCAGTGCTTAGAATAGTGCCTGTCTTGCCGTCTTGTTTCCATTTCTGATGCCTTCATCCTTTTCTCCTCTGGCCTAATTATTATATTACTAGAGGCTCGGTGCACGAAATTTGTGCAGTGGGGGAAGGAGTCCCTCAGCCCGGCCTGCGTCTTCTTGCAGTCTGGAATTTCTCAGGGGATGTCCAATGGCTGGCTTAGGGCCACTTTCTACCCACCTGCTCACTGCCCGTTTGGTTTGCTGCTCTTTAGCGCTGCCACAGAGGTGGGAGAGGCTCCTGCCACTGCCCCTGTTCTTGCTAGTTGTGAACTCAGCTTGTGGCTGAGCGGTGCTCCCCCTGTGGGAGCACACTGACCACCAGGAGCAGCTCCTGCACTGAGCTTCTGCCCTCTGATGGTCATTACACATCATAGCAACCAGTCATTCTGGTCATTCTGCCATAATGGTTGCTTAGGCTTTTATTATATAGATATTTTTCAGTTTGTATTTAAAAATATATATATTTTTGTTGATTTCAGAGAGGAAGGAAGAGGGAGAGAGAGAAACATCAATGATGAGCGAGAATCATTGATGCATTGATTTGTTGCCTCTCGTACATCCCTTACTGGGGATCAAGCCCTCAATCCAGGCTTTTGCTCTGACCAGGAATCAAATCTTGACTTCTTGGTTCATAGGGTGATACTCAACCACTGAGCCACACTGGCCAGACTGAGCCACACTGGCCAGACTATTGTGTGTGTGTGCTTTTCTTGTTTTTTGTTTTCAAAGTAACTATTTCTTGCTTTTATTTTAGATAAAATTTTTTTTAAAGAAACAAAACCATACAGATATACTTGAAGCTCTTTGTATAATGCCTTCTCCCATGTCATTATCATCATTTTCCAGTGTTAACCATTATCTGAATTTGGCATCTATACAGTTTCTATATATTTCTTTATTAAATATATATTTACCTGTATACAGTATTACTGTTTTAAGACTTTATACCAATAGAAATTATATCACATCAAATGTCTTGTAACTTGTTTTTTTATTTTAACATAGCTTTTGATATTTGTTTATGCTGATAAGTGTAACACTATTTATTTGTGTTAAAAGTTGTTTAGTAGCTTGTTGTATGAAAGATTATAATTTATCTGTTTTCCGTTACTGGTCACTTACATTATTCCCAGGTTTTTGTTTGTTTGTTTTTTTGTTAATCCTCAACTGAGAATATTTTTCCATTGATTTTTAGAGAGGCTGGAAGGAGGGGGAGAGTGAGAGTGAGAGAGAGAGAGAGAGAGAGAAATATCAATGTGAGAAAGACACATTGATTGGTTGTATTCTGCATGCCCTGACCAGGGTCAGGGAGCAAGCCTTCAATTGAGGTATGTGCCTTTGACTGGAATTGAACCTAAGATACTTCATTGTGTGCCCATGCTCTATCCACTGAGCCAAACCACTAGTGCTCCCAGTTTTCTGTTATATGTTTCTTTATGATTATGCCACAATTTATCTTTCCTCTCATTGTTGGGCATTTAAGTTGTTTCCAATGCCTCAACAATCATTTTTATACACGATTCCTTGTGCACATTTGAGAGTTTATATCTATAGCCCAGTGAAAGGAATTGTGGGTTGTTGGGCTTCAATGGGCACAAGGCAGGTCTCGGCCCATCCTCCATGTCCCTGCCTGGCCCCTCCTGCTGTGGTTCCCGGTCCCCTGCCTGCCAGCAGCCCCACTCGCTGCTCTCATGTGCTGAAAGTGCCAGCCCCACTTGAACCTGTTGACAGCACTGACGGTTGGGGCTGGTACCAGCAGGGCTGGCCCCATTAGAGGTGTGAGCAGTGGCTGCTGTCCTGATCACCCTTCAGGAGCAGGGAGAGGTGGAGAAGCCCTGAGGGGCGATCGGTGCTGACAGCGGGTGCAAGCGCCAGGTGGGACTGTGGCATGCGGGAACCAAGACTTTTAAGTAGCCACCAGAGGCTGGCCCAATGACAGGAACTGGCACCCTGCCTTGGTCTGGCACCCCTGCTCACCTGCTGATGCCAGCCATGTTTTGCGCGCGCCTCCTGGTGGTTAGTGCACATCATAACGACTGGTTATTTGGTTGTTCA